TGGAAAAGAGCATCGCTACAGTTCTGTGGATACATGGCTAAAATAACGGGCATTATGATTCCTGGTGAAAGGAGGGTGAAGCTGCTAGTAATACAGAAGTAACCTGTTCCTTCTCTCCTGTCTTCTCCTTGTGCTTACAAAAAAAGCCACACTGGCTCCCAGGCAAAGAAGTTGCTGTTAGCAAGCTGCCTCACCTGATTTTTGCCTAAGCTGTCACGGAACAAAGAACATTGGTTCATTTTAGACTGCGTGGGGACATGCAGCACAGCCAGAGAATACAGCTGCCTAATTCCTAACCAAGCCCCTACCACCTTTGCTCTGAGAAAGAGGTCAGGTATTGCTCTTTATGTGCCAAAGTTGTCCTAGTTGGCTTAGCTTTGGTTTTAATACCATAGCTGGAAAAACGTACACAAATTTTACCTCCTCTCTTTTGATAATTCACCCCCCCAAACAATTAAGTACCAAAACAAGTTTTAGAAAAAGCAGGGTCTGAAGATCTGGACGCTGTTAGGAGCCATGCAGAGTCTAATTCTGGCTTGGCTGCAAATTTAATTTGTAGCCTTGAATAAGTCAATTAAATTCTTCTCATCAAGTCTCCCCTCAGTAAAATTGAGAATAATTACTTGCCTTGTAGAGATGCTGCAAAGACTAAGGAAGTCTTGACATAGTTTATTTAAGATGTTGAAATCTCTTAAGAATTATGTAGAAACCTCAATTAGGATTTATAAAAAGGTTATTTAAAAACACAATGGGATAAAAAGTATCATCGTTGAAACTAATTAATGAAATAACTATGTTGAAAAACTTCTCAGATGTGAAGGATGAAACATAAATCTGCAGCTGCCTGGCAGAGTATATTCAGCTCAGAGAAGCAACTGCTCTTTATTCGCTGTGGTGGAACAAGTTCAGTGCAGATTCACAAGGAAATTCTCGTAGCCTATGATACTCTTTAGTAGTGTCTTCCATCATTATCGGTCTTCATTATTCATGATCTTATAACACTTTGGGCCTTTGGCTGGGATCTGTCCTGGTGTGATTGGTACCACAGACACACAAGATAACAAAATTCCCTGCCCCAAAGAGCTTATGCTCAGAGGTCCTGAGTGTCCAGCAGTTTACATCACGTGGGGGTGAGACCATAAATACCAACAGCTCTGTTCATAGACATAAAATTAGTTCATGCAAACACATCGCCATGGGAGATAAACTGAAATATGTCATGAGAAACATCACATGGATTCCCCTGGCAGATGCGCGAAGCACCAGGTAGCAGTGGCATCATTAGGGCTGGTGTAATCCCAGCTGTCAGGGTACACCAGTTGCTTTGATGTGCTCTGTGGGCACACTGAGAGATGCAAATTTCAGGGAGGAGGCCAGGAAGAGGCAGGGTAACTAAGTGGCCTTGCAGAGCCTTAGTTGGATCTCCTCTGGTTTTGGCAGCCCAAGATGAAGCACAAATGTATTTGAAGAAAACTTGACCTTAAATTTACGAAGGCAGACATAACTGGCAGAGCACAGGCCAGTACCACCAGCATGTGTGAGGCAAAACGCAAGGTGGGACCATGCTGTGATAGAACTTAGAAGTGAAAAATAGAAGTTTGAGCTGATATATAGAGAATAAAAAGCCAGCAGAGGGAACAGTAAAACCAAAACCACAGACAGCTTGCGGTTTTATGCATGCAGAGCTTGGCACATCCTCAAAATTAATTGTTAACTTAATAATAATAATGCTCTGCTCAAGAGATAATGATCTTGTACCCAAATGCGCGTGGTCCTTCTCCCCCATCTTGTACTGTAAGACAAATAATAGAAAACAAGGCTATCAAATTTGCCCTTTTATAAAGGACTACTGAGGAGTAACCCATTTGATCCATACAATTTTTCACAAGTGATAATGTAATGAAAAGATGGATCAGTTAAGAAACCCCTGCCTTATCCCCACCACATGACTCGAGATTGCTGTGCAACCAGTTCCAGCCACTATCTGATATGATGGAGAATGTATGAGAGTCAGACGTCGCCAAAAAAGCGTCAGAAGAGCTAAATAAAGTAAGAAGTTATAACCATTTTCTCCACTCATTCCTCCCTTATCTACTACCTCCCTTTTCCTTTGCTCAGTCCTGCATCATTGGCGGTGTTCTATTAGAAGAGGTGCATACTGCTCGCAGTGGGGAGGGCTGGGAGAGATAAGAGGGCTTCTGTTGATTTTGGCTTTTATTCCAAATTGTTTACTGGCCATGCTCACAAAGCAAAATTATTTCCCCTGTTCCTCTACTGATCTATGCATACAGGTACATACAGACATCTAAACACATTTAGTGTTACAGTGAAGCGTAAGGGGTGGGATATTCCAGTATCTCTCAGTATGGCTACTCCAAACTGCGGGATGGACAGCCACACTGAAAGGTGATGGGCCATTACTCTGATGTTACACACATGGCGAAAGCCAAACCTTCTTCTTTTCCTTGTTTTCCTTCACATGGTTGCATAGCTCAGTGTCTGGTTTCTCTGGGGTAGTAGAGTTGTGCTTCATGCTGTTTGTTGGTGACATATCAGTGTAGTGCAGGTCAGGGGATGTCCTTGAAGACATGGGCCTGTTCATGTGATTACGTATCTGTAATTAACACTGCGCAAGCCAACCCGGAGCCTTACAGGACTCTTTCCTCAGGTTATCCTGCTGTATGAGTGAGGAGGCACCAGCTGCTTCTTAGCCCAAACGTCCAGTTGCATGCAATGGTCATGCATGCAGTTGAGAGCAATAAATGTGCTCTCTGCTCAGGCAAACTTCCTCTGTCAGTAATAGTTATGGACTTGCCAGTTCACTAAGAGTTGGTCTCCACCAACCATGTACGTCCAAGGTACTCAGCGGAGCGCTGTTTGCACACAAGTCTGCATGTGGATACTCGTCAGCTCTGTGGTCTGTTGTGTGTTTTGTTTGTATGACATTCAGTCTCATCCACAGAAGGTGTCAGTGAGACCTACTGTCTGTGGGGACAGGTAAGAAACAGGCATTTTGCCAGTTCTCTTCCTACTTTCTGCCATTTGCAGAAATGAGGAGCATTTTGATTTGGTATCCCAGCCAAAAGTCACTGTACTCAGGCAAGTGCTGGCTTCTCCCCCAGCACCTGGATGAATGCACGAGTCCAGCTGGGGACACCTTCTAGTCACGCTCCTTTCTGAGACATCCTGATGTGAAAGGTGGGGAGAGAGGAGTGGGCTGCCCGACTAAAGAGTGCCTGTAAGGACCAAACCCTATTTCCAGTTAGCTGTGCGATAGGTTTTAAGACAAAAAAAGAATACCAGTGAATGAAAGTCTATCGGGATGGAGAGGTACATGAATTCAGAGCGTGCAGGATGGTGATTTCTGTACAACCTACAAGGAGCTTGGGAACAGAGACCTGAGCAGGCTGGGCACGTACATCCCGCTGAGAGCAGGCAGGTGATAGCAATGGGTGACGCAAGGGCGTCTGGGCACGGCAGAGCATGATGCAGCGCAGACACAGCGCGTGACGTGCTGCGGCTGTTAGCAGACACCTTTGATGACAACGTGACCGTCACCGCCTATGGCACTACATAAAACCAGTAGCTCCAAGTGTCTGCTTCATTCATGCTGCTTCATGCCTCTGGTGGCCTTTGTGCCATCCTGGTTTAGGTTGGCTGTAGCAATCACTGTCTTCGTACAATGTTTTTAAAAGTTATGAAATCGTAGAGTTCTCCTGTAGAAAGTACAGGAGAATGGAAAACTGCAGAGCTCCAAGACAGAAGGAGCAAGAGTAAATTCAGTGCAACAGAGGCCCGCTTTCTGAAGACATTAAACAGTTTTAAGACTACACTAGTCTAAGCAAATGAACACACCCTTTTTATTACTCAGGCAACCAAAGTGGGGAGAATGGAAACAGCCTGTTATAGGTAAAGCCAAATGAGATGTTGCCTAGTAACTCTCAGCAGGGAAGAATTTAAACCCAGCCAGTTTAGTGAAGCTGATGTTCTGACTCAGAGATTATTTTCTGTGGAAAAAATCTGAAAGCAGGAAAGCTCAATTTAACAGACATATGATTTGTTTTCCTGTTATGGCAAACCATGGTGACAATGCTTGGGAGAATACAGAAGTATTTACAAAACTTGTGCAAGGAAGAACAGACAAGGCATGTTTTCAACAGAAGCATCACTTTAGTGAATGTGTTTTTTGAAGCTGATTTTTTCCCACCAAATACAGTAAACTTCACATTCGGTTTTATTTTCAGATTCTGCAATACAGAAGCGATAACAGAAATTTGGAACTATTACACAGATCGTTACATTATTGTCATTATTATTTCTGTAAGAGGAAGTTGCTGGAGCAAACCCTACTTCAGCTCTGTTATTGGACGCAGAATCAAAGTCATCGATTCAAAAGGAGAAAGACTCTGTCTCCACCGGTTCCATTGCCTGGAGTAGTTTTCATCAGGCCCTCCTTCAGGACTTTGCTTTTATGGGTTCACGGAAAAGTCACGTGGCTTGGCTAAAGGTATCTCACATCAGGGGAAAAAACCACCCCTCAAACCTTACTCGGAGGTTCATTATTTTTGCTTCTCTTTAGAAGGATACAGTGATTTTATAGAAGTAAAAGCTCTGGCACGCTCAGCCATGTACGTCTGTATTCCTGGGAGCCACAGCTACTGTTCATAGGCAAAGTCAGGTTCAGGAGAGCACTACATTTCAGCAGCCTCAGTACAGTTGATGATAGTTATGAATATGAACTATTGCATAGATTTTTTTTTTAAAAATTAAAAAAGTACAATAAACAGATCAACACTTACATCACACTAACCATGAAAAGGCAAACTGCCAAAGAGTTGCTACAAAAATACGTATTTTATCAACACTGATCGTAGCTGGAAAGCAAAGCTACAATGGCATAAGTACTAAATTTTGAGTTCTATATTACAAGTGTGAGAGTTTTCACAAGCCTGTTGTATGAGCAGTGAAAGGGTGTTCTATAAGCCACAGAGATCCACTTCTCACTGACCAGAGCCTGGTTTGAAGTTTAGTGAGACACTGATGATACAGAGCCTCTGCCCAGAAGGTGTGGGACTGTCATCAAACACATGGCCTAGATGGGCATCACACTGCAACAAAAATTATGTGCCATTATTACCATTACAGTTATGGACCAACATTATGCTGGTACCTACTGTGCTATCCCAATTGAAGAAACCTGTATGATGAATTCACTGTTGAGCTGTGTGTGTGAGTCTTGGGGAGAGACTAGAAATACATCCTGGAGTAATCACCTCTGGCCAGTGGGTGTATATCTTCCTCCAAACAAGCAGATCCCCAAAGAGGAAGTCAAAAGTGTCAGAAAATGTAGGAAATAAATGGGAGGATCTAGAGTTCTCAATACATAATGAAATTTTCAAGTTAATTGAGGCAGTCATTGTATGTCTTTGCAGGTCAACTGAGGACACCCTCCCCCCCCCAAAAGACTGATGGGAAGAAGACTCAGAATAGCTACCAGCAGTTCATTATAAAACTGGAAGGTTGTCTTCAGCTGGGGTTCTTGAAAGGTGATTGCTGGATATTACTGCAAACATGAACAATACCGTGATAATGGACTGCAACAAATGCTTGTTACATTTGCAGATAATACCTAGTCCTGCTAGAAGAGGCTGTAATTCATTAAACTCAATTGCATACAAAAGTATATAAGATATAAAGTATATAAAATAAAAAATTATCTTAACAGCCTTAATAGACTCATAGAATGTTTTGGGTTGGAAGGGACCCCTAGAGGTCATCTAGTCCAACCCCCCCGCAGGAGCAGGGACAC